TAACTTATGTTAAGTATACTTTTTTTCATCTTGTGTGAAATAAATGTTCCAAATCATTAGTTAATAAATGCAAATAATGCAAAGCAGGGGTTTTTCTCTGTCTTGTTCAGTGAAGTATCTCAAACATCTATTATATTGTGTAATAAATATTTGCTAATAAATTGCATGAATGATAGAAAATGAGACTCAAAGGACTAGCAAATGCTTGTTAATGTGGTACACTAGACAGGAATTCAAGTTCTACCCAGAAGCTGACCATAGCCACAGGACAGAATGGGAAGCTGCTGTGGGTCTTCACACAGACTAGCTGAGTAGACACCTGTACCTGCACCAGTCCTCTCCAAGAGGAAGCCAGAGTCTAGTTGAAAGACCCCTCCCCTGTAGATACATGGGAAAATATCCATATCTGGATGGATAGGAAAAGCAGAATACTAGCTGCACCCTGAGCCCGAAAATCAGGAAGTTCTCCCAGCTACATCCTGATGGGTACAGGGTCTGGACCACACATGTGGCTCTCAATTATTACAAACTCATCAGAGAGTTTAAAAAGCAGCAGGGATGGGGTGTAGGAGCACAAAGAACAAGTGGGAATTTTAGACTTTGTGGCTGCTCCCAGCAATCACAGCCCCAGAATCCCTCCAGCTTCCAACTTCCTCCTCCAAGGATTAGGCTGCACACTTTTCCAGCAGCTGGCAGATGTTCTGGCCTCGGAAAAGCCTGTGTCTGGGAACCTATGTCACAAATGAAAATGAACTTTCTCAAGCCTATACAGGAGGGGCAGCACTGCCACGTGTTTTCTTCAGCTTGTTCCAGGGATCAACCCCGCAGTCTCTCATTGGAAGCAAGATGAAATTGCTCCCTGTGACTGTTTGGGAAAGTGGGTACTTCCCTGCTTTCTTCTCTGGTTGCTCTGGCAATAAATGTAAATGTCCCTGACTTGTAAAGTTAGGGAAGGGCTTATAAATTATCTAGCACTAGGGGATGACAGACTGAACTTCTGAATCTGCCAGACCAGAGAACAAAAGATGATTTTGAAACTTGCAAATATTCAGTGACTATCTTCAAAATGAGCAATCTGAACCAGAGTAAAAGCATCTGCTATAAACCCTTTCCTTGGTATAAGGGAAAGAAGAATCTGAAACACACATCTAAGACCCCAACCCTTACAGTTCTATCTCATGGGACTAGCTTCTATCCTCTACCCGCACCCCCCCAAAAAAAATCTGTTTTACTGATAAATTCAGTGGAGTTGCAGGTTACAAAAATCAACATATAAAAACTAGGCCAGCCTTGGCACATGCTTGTAATCCCAGCAGCTAGGAAGGCTGAGGCAGGAGGATCTCAAATTCAATGCTAGCCTCTGCAATTTAGCGAAGCACTAAGTAACTCAGTGAGACCCTGTCTCTAAATAAAACATAAAAAAGGGCTTGGGATGTGGCTCAGTGGTCTGAGTTCAATACCTAGTATGCAAAAAAAAGTAACGTTCTATGCAATAACAATGAATGAACTATCTAAAAAAGAAGTTAAGGAAAAGAATTATTTATAATAGCATCAAATTTTTTAAAGAACTTACTAGTAAACTTAAACAACAATGTAAAAGACTTGTACACTAAAAAAAAATTTTTAATTGATAAAATTAACTGAAAACCCCACAAATGAATGGAAACATCCCATATTCATGGGTTTGAATTAAAACTGTTAAAGTGCCTATACAGCCCAAAGTGATCTACATACTTAATACAAAATGCCAATGACATTTTTAACAGAAACAGAAAATAAAACAACACTCAACTTCTCATGAAATCACAAAAGACCCCAGATAGTAAAATCAATTTTGAATTAGAAAAAACAAAGCTAGAAAAATCATATGTTTGAGTCCAAAATATACTACAAAGATATTTTTTTTGTCTCTTTTCCAATTTTTTAATTCCAAATTTGAAATTTGTTCGTATTAGTTATACATGACAGTAGAATGCATTTTGACGTCTTGTACACTCCCCTCTACACAAACCGAAGTTCTTTTATTCTTCCTACAAAGATATTTTAATCAAACAGCATGGTACTGGCATAAAAACAGACACACTAATCAATGGAAAAGAACAGAGAGACCAGAAATAGACATAATTATGGTCAAATGCTACTTGACAAAGGTGTCAAGAAAACTTAGTCTCTTCAATGAATGATGGTGGAAAAAATGGATATCCACATGCAGGAGAATGAAATTGGACCACTATCTCACACCATATACAAAGATCAACGCAAAATGGATTGAAGGCTTAACATTTGAACTGGCCCTATAAAACAGCTAGAATAAGACAGTGGGAAAAAAGCTTCATTACATGATCTGGGCAATGACTTCTTGGGTTAAGAATCCAAAAACAACAGACAACAAACATTGAAATTAGATCCAGGGAATTGCATCAAGTGAAAAAGCTTCTGCATGAGGAAGAAAACAATTATCAAAATGAAGAGACAACCCACAAATAAGGAGAAAAAAAAAATTCACCAACCGTACATCTCTTAGCTATTAGCTGGACACTCAGAATGCTTACCCTATTTTTCTATTACTAACTGACTGACCTTCCTTTTCATTTATCCTCATTTGACTTTTAAATAAACTACTAACTTTGAAAGGTTACAATCATGTCTTCCTAGGCCAGAAATCATTCTATCTTTTTAGATTCACTTAGCATATCTCCTCTGTAGTTCAATTTGTGCTGATTTATGCCTAGGGGACAATATTAATTTAAGATATTAGCTGCTGCTATTATTACTCCTTTGTTGAACTTTAACTCCAGGTTGAATTTTAACTCAAATAAATGAAGCAGAAAAAAAATCATTTTCTTATAGACCACATACAACTAACAAAGCCAAATGCAGAATTAAGACAATTGTAATACATACCTCATGCCTTCTACCTCCCTGATCATCCCTGTGTTGGTTTTTTTGATTTCCGGACCTGGAAGGTCTTTGCTTTCATTGGAAAGTCACATTTCAAATGCTAATTCATCTGTGAAGGCTCCTTCATTTACTTACTGCCTAAAGTAACTTGCCTCTTATAGAATTGTCCGTCATGTTTTATGTGGATTGCTCCTGGCATTTACCTTTTCTCATCTTGTATTCTATTAATTTTCTCCCCTTATTACACTTGATGCGTTTTGAATCAAGAAACATGCCTTTCGTTTTTCTTTTAAACAGTTGTTTTATTTTCTTGCCTAACCCAGTGCTGCATAGCAGAAGTTGAGGTCATAGGTTCTGACCTTGACTCACCTATGCTTGCAATGCGTTCTACCACGTCATAGGGTGTGATTTTGGACAAATGTCCTGAATACACAGAACCTTCATTTCCTCTTCTCTAAAATATGGGTCACAGTGCCTAGCCCACAGAACTATTGTAAGGATTAAATTTATTGACCCAGGAATATTCATTTGAAACAATGCCTAAGATAGACTAAAAGCTCAGTCACTGATAGTATTTATCATTCTGCAAATAGCAGATACTGAAGCCACATTTCAATATGAGTCAGTCAAGCCCAAATGATTAAAAATTTTATTATGAAAAATTTCAATATACATTAAAATAGAATAATCTAATAAAATCTTTTTTTTAAGATTTTGCCTCACTGTCTCCATGTCTCACTTAATATTTTTCTATGAAGCATCATCATGCAAACCCCATAGCAGTTTCATTTGGGGATATTCTTTTAAAACTAACTTACAAAGTAATAGTAAATAAAAATGAATACTAAGTAACCAGCCATTATCTGGGAGTATTGTCCAAATCTCTTTTCTCTGACTTATGTAGTAACATTATGAAAAATATTTTGGCCTTAAATATTTTGACAATTTCCATTTCACATTGATATAGTTAGTCTATAATTAAAGCCATAAATCCTGCAACTTTTAAAATTAATCATAAAAAAGAAATAATAGTGATTTTAATTGAAAACACTCTTTGCTTGATTTCTGAGTCCTATATGCTTAATAAGTGTCTGTTATTTAAGAATCACTATAAGCTTATAAATATTCACAGAAAAAGCATAAGACTGCTTCAAAAACAAATACACTTGCACAAAGCATAATTCAATAGATTATAATCTCTCTGCTATCAGGTAATATGCTTATTTATATCTTTCATAGTACCAAGTATATTAAGTTAATTCAATTATATTATGAATTGAATGCTGGAGAATGTAGATATTGTGTTGTTCTTTGTATAATATATTTCATTAAGACATCATGCATAATGATTTTTGTTCATATTTTAATATCAGATTTATTTTGAGCAAAGAGTTCTAGAATTATGGTTGTTGATTAGTTGATACTCCTTTCATAATATTCTCTTCTTGCAACCAAGAATTATTTATCTCTAATTCTTCAAAATCTTTTAAAATTTTTACAGAATAAGTGAATTCTGTATTGCTCATTAATTGGCAAGTAGAGGGAAAATAATATAATACAAATCAATTTGTTATTTTTAGAATGACATATGAAACTTATGAGGATAGACAGTTCTTGATACTATATTGGACTTTGACAATGTTTTTACATTTGTTTCCATAAGATATAATAAGATATTAAAACAATATCCTTGAAAATAAAGTGTGAAAAATGATGGTGAGTATGTTTCTCCAAATATTTTTATTGCTGGGCAATCACATCTATCCTAATATATATGGGGGAGGTGGATGGGCATGGGACACATTCCTACAGAATCTAGAAATTTGAAATATGAAACTTGAGTTGAAGTACCTGAAAGAGCTGGGATGTTAACAATCATTTAACAGAAAATAAATCATTAACTTTGGAGCTAATCGACTTACCTTTCTATGAGTCATTAGCTTTGCAAAAGTTTATACTTCTTCCATTGTTCAGCTAATTTATTCCTCTTAAATCAACACCCAACCAAGGGTCAGGCTAATGGTTCTATTTATTTTGTGCAATAATTCTGCCTATTTACCTGTGATTGATAACTAAGTATAAATTCTGGATCTTGAGTCCTGCTGTGTCCATTATAGGCCCTATTCTCCTGTCTGAGAGACTGAAGTGAACAACTGGACATCTTTAACTTTGATTCAACAGTGAACCTCAATTCTTTCTAGCTTCACAGTGTAACTGATCACTTACTAGAATCCTGTGATCTACGCTGAAGTTATTCATTATCATCAAAATGTTTTGTGGGAACTATGTAAGTATAATTGTTATTTCCACAAACTTTTCCAGTCTTTTATAATTTAACCCTTATTTTTTAAAATTTTATGTGCTACTTGACATTTTCAACAGGAAATATTGATGTTTTAATTTGTTTTCACTAAAGCTTTAATTAGTAGATGCTTAGTATCACTATTAAAAGAAGGTAATATCATTAAATCTTAAATGCATTATTCCATAGAGGTAATCGTGTTGCTTCTACTTTCATAATTAACCTGACTCAGAATCATGACTGAAGTTATAAGATTTTGTTTCCATAAATAGTTCTGTCTCTAAAAAATTTAAATAATTATTTATTTATTTTTATTTTTAAAATAAATGATTTTTGTTTTACATCCATCATCTGTTCAGATTATCTAGATTATTTTAATTAATTTTATTTTTCCTTGTCTGAATCATTCCAATCTAAAAATTCGTATATTTTACTAAATTTTGAAGAGCTAACATAGAGTTATATAGATTATTTGAAAAGATATATATGTTATATGGCCTTGGGAATTATATATGTGAGTGGGTTGATGATTTTTTTAAAAATCTACATTATAAAAAAATCTTTCCAGGAAGATTTTATATTAAAGAAACATAGCATTATTTATTTCATTAAACTTTGGCACAAAAACCTTTCTTGTTTACTCATTCCCAAAGTATTTTTTTCTAGAAAATTTTAATTATGTACCTTATTTTTCAAACAAATATTGAATGAAGGATTCAAATATGTCTACTTTCCATCACTGTTGGTTTAACAACTTCAGTTTCAACTTGAGAGCCAAGATCTCATTTTTCAATTGAAAGTTATAAGTATTCTTTTACTAATTGTATGGCAACTTTATTTCACTACAGAAAAATAAAAGGTATCAAGTAATTTAGACCAGCATGGTAAATAATTCAATTTGAACAACCTATAGTTTTCTCTCTTTCTATTTATTTGAGCACAATATTTTGGAAATAATCATATGTTATACACTATATAGTCTTAATATTTATGTCAATTTATAATTTAAAATATGTAAATTATATTTCAAAGATTTAAGCTCCCATGTCAGCAAAATTTTTGAGAACTGTAATGATTTGCTATACTTCTAGAACAAATAAAGAAATATGAAAGTTGAAAAGTTAGATTTAAGCCCATCTCAAAATTCATTTTAAATTAAACATATTAGAGATAAATATTATGATTAGAGAAAATATTATTCTTTGTGTATAGTCTCAGCAAGTGTGGATTGTAAAATGGTTTTACATCATCAATGTTGAATTTTAAAGCAATTCTTTCTCTTCCTCTCTCTCTTCCTCTCCCTCTCTCTCTTCCTCTCTCTCTTTCTCTCCACACACACAAATACATTTTACATATATATATAATAAATTATATATATATATTATATATATATGATATATATATATATGTATATATCTTTAGACTATATTTCCCTAATTCTGCTAAAGAAATTATTTGCTGATTTGTCCTGTTTGCTACCAATTGATGCCCCCCTTTTTATACAGTATCATTTTATTCATTATAGATTCCTTTTGACATCTATGTTAACTTTACTCCTATTCCCTTTTTGATCCTTTTGTACCTTTGCATATTGCTACTGTATTCATTGACTGGCAGAAACATGTTAATCATAGCAATATTAAAAGTAGTATATCATACATCTATAAGCTTTATACATAGATAACATTATGTGTTAGAGAAACTATATATTATCATTTTATATCTATGCAAGAAAGTTTCTGTATTACAATAGGAGCTTTGTATAACTTTTCTAATTTTGTACTCAGCAAATTATTTTATAAGAATATCATTTACTGTATAAAATTTGGAAATTCTTCTTGGAGGTATTAGATTTCTACTCGGGGATTTGATATATTATTTTTAATCCTCACAACTTTCAAGGAAAGTAGCACTGTCCTCATTTTGCAGATGAAAATATTAAGGCTCAAAGACATGACTATTCTTTTGGGGGATAAAAGGCCAGAAAGTAGCAGGTATGAGATACAGACTACCTCCAAAATCTTCCATTTTGACAGAGAGAGGGAGAGAGAAAAAGAGAGAAATGCCTAAATATTATTATCCTACATAATTTCTATCTTTGTGTTCAGACTGCAAAACCATCTATTTTTATAGAGAAAGAGAAAAAGGAGGAGAGAGAGAGTGAAAGAGAGATGCCTAATCTTCCTGCATAAGATCAGTCTTCATGTTAAGAGGCAAAGAGTAGATTCTTTGTGAAACCAATTTAGAGATGTAAGATTAGATGCTGTTATCCACATTTGCTCCAGAATGACTCAAGAACACCAACATCAGGCAACAGCAACTTAGGCCATGTCTACTGCAGGCCAGGAGAAATTTGGCATATTAACCCAACTAGAATCGAATAGCACTGTTCTTAGCAATGAACTTTGTGGAGTGAAAGAAAAGTACTCACTATCTGAAACAAATTCAGGGCATATTATCCAGGAGTGATTATAGGCTGGGAAGATATCACAGGGGAACAGAGGCTGTTGATAAGGCAAGATTATTTTCAAAGCTGACTTTTCATATAGAAAGGTGTTCCTGGGAGAAAAACTTGCACTGAAGAAATCCAACTTTGATTGTTTATCTGCAATATGACTTACTGAACAAATATTATTAAAAGCTTATTCATACTTTAGATTGCTTTTCACTATCACAAGACCATATTGTCTGAACTTTACACACTTTGATTCAACAAAAGTTAGGAGTCATGCTGGTTATGGCTTCAACCTTTACTGAAGCTTCTGTGGAACTAATAAGTATTGGACTTCCTTTAAGTTAAAGGGAATAACTTTTACCTTGAAGTGAAATATGAGCACATCATTAATGAAAAAAGAAAAAGGTACAACCACCTTAGGTGGATTTTAATGCAGTGTCTGGGCACACATGTGTACAGAACAGTGGGTTCAATAGTTAAAGCCCACCTTGTTGCCTAGATTACAGGATCATGTGAATGCGGACAATTTTCTTATCTTCCTGCATCTCAATTTTCCTACTTCTTAAGAGGGTGTGATAGTGCCTATCTAATAAGGGTCTCTTGAGAATTAATTGGCACATAAATTACTAAGAATATCTGTAACTTAGAAAGCACTTCCAGAAGGTAATCAGCTAGTACATGAGCTAATATTCATGGTTTCATGAAGTACCAGTGCCAGAGTTTGAATCCAACTCTCTAACTCCAAAACCTAGAATTTGGATACACTGCATTTAGAGAGGTGGTGCATATCTTCATTAATCAATATCTCAATATAAATGTCTACGTATGTATGACTATTCCAAATTTGGGGGGGGCAGTACTGGGTATTGAACTCAGGGGCACTTGACCACTGAACCACATCTGCAGCCCTATTTTGTATTTTTATTTAGAGACAGGATCTCACTGAGTTGCTTTAGTGCCTCACTTTTATTGAGGCTGGCTTTGAATTCACCATCCTCCTGCCTCAACATCCTGAGCCAGTGGGATTACAGGCCTGTGCCACCACACCCTGCTGACTATTTCAAATTATATGAATAAATTTTAGTAACATCAAAAGTACCATGAATGTAAGTATATATTCTGTTCAAGTCAGTATAATCTGTATTTGTAAATAGAGCCTAAATCACTGAAGAGGGCATTTTTAAGAAAGCCTTTGGTCCAAGTTTGCAAGCTCTTAGAATATTTACCATAATAACAATAACAAAAATAATAATAATAATAAAATTAAATTTGCATTTCCCCAAGTACTTTCAGTATATATATCAAAGGTCTTACAGAAGATGGGACACCTCTCTAGATGTACTGGTTTTTCTGCAATGCTAGAGAGCTTTCTAGATGATTATTCAACTGTCTGGAAAATTATTTTGAAACTTTAGCTCTACTATTAACATTAACTCATTGTGCTCATTTAAAATATTACTTTAAGCCTAGAACCCTCTTTAAATTTAAACATTAGGAGTTTTAAAACCCCCCAAAGAACAAAGAAAAGTTGATAAATTATATTTTTAGTATATTTATCCTAATGAATCAACCCACCTACAAAACAGTACAGGAAGGAAATCATCAGACTATCACAAATCACAACCTTTGAAAAACTATTTCTTTCATTAAATCACAAGATAAAAGTCTTAGAAATTATATTTGAGCAATATGAGTCATAGTTATTTTAATGAGTCATGAATTTCTGTAATTAGGTGGAGTGGAAATGGCAGAAAGAAGTCGTTTCCACAGTATTACTAATGATGTTTTCATTGTAGTTCAGCCTCCAAAGCCAACACCCAACCCTCTATGTGCTGTGGAATTCTTCTCTCAGCAGAAATTCTTTATCATCAGGAATAGCTCAGCCTTACTCAACAAAAAGAAAGGGATTACAGGAATTTTTTAAAAACTACCTTAAAGTTCACACTGTCCATCTCTTGGCCTAGCCTCTTTTTCATTACCTTCAATGATTAATAAAGGGTCCCTTATACCTTGTGAACTTTCATTTCTCCTGTAAGGAGAAAGAAGGATTGCTTCTTAGGACTCCTTTTCTTTTTCAGCCTCACCCATATCACAACACATATTATGAATATTTTCTTTCTCAATTATACTTTAGTTGATGTCCCTCAGACATTCTTGTTACCATGCTAAAAGAAATCAGAAAAAAATAATCAACAGACCATGACAAAATTAAATCATGTATAAAGCATAAAATTAATTTGTGTACAAGATTTTGTGTTTTACCTATTCCTAGTCTGGATAAAGTAGGAGCCAACTTCACTTACAGGCTGCTTTGCATTGGTTTTCATCTCTATTTTGTGGCAATTTACAGTAAAGCAACTGGATACCTTAATGTATTTATCATTTTCTCTCTTAATTGGAACATTTGTGCTATTGTAATTTTAAATAAGCCAGAATTGAAAGTACAGTAGCAATATTGCACATTAGGAGAAAAAAAGAAATCACTTTAACCCCAGTAAACACATCAGTCTAAGTACAATGTATTAATAAT